TGCCTATTAAATCTGGAAGTCTTTTGGAGGAGTATTTAAGATCTTCTATGTAGAGTATCATGTCATCTGTGAATATTGATAGTTATGTTCTTTGTTTCGTATCCTTATTCATTTTATTTCTGTCTCTTGTTTAATTACTCTGGCTAAGTTTTCAAGAATGATATTGACTAAGAGTGCTGACAGTGGGCATCTTTGTCTTGTGCCTGACTTTAGAGTGAAAGTTTTATTTTTTGTCCATTCAGTATTATAGTAGCTACTTGTTTCTCATAGGTGGCTTTTATCAGATTGAGATTATGACTATCCTAATATTCTGTAGGGATTTTATCATGAATGAGTGCTGCACTTTGTGAAAAGCTTTTTAATGCCTCTATTGAGATGATAAAATGAATTTATCATTGACTCTATTAATATGTCGTGTTACATTTATTGATCGACATATGTTGAACTATCCCTGGGATGAATCCAACTTGGTCATGACATATAATCTTGATTTGCTGTATCTTGTTTGCCAGTATCATATTGAGAATTTTTGTATCTACATTCCCTAGGGAGATTGGCCTATAGTTTTCTTTCTTAGGTGGGTCCTTCTCTGGTTTAGGTATGAGGGTAATGCTTGCCTCCAAGAGAGAACTTTAGAGTATTGCTTTCTTTTCCATTTCATCAAAGAGTTCTATAAGTAATAATATTAGTTCTTCTTTAAATTTCCACTAGAATCCAACAGAGGATCCATCAGAGCATGGCCTTCTTTGTTGGTGAGTTTTTAATTACATCTTTGATTTCTTTGATATTGGTTTATTTAGGACTTTTGTATCTTCTTTATTCATCTTTGATAATTCATATATATCTAGGAATATGTTCATTTCTTCAGTATTTTATATTTTATTAGAATATAATTTCTCAAAAGAGGTATAGATAATCTGAATTACTTCAGGATCCACTGTAATTTCATGCTTTTCATTCCTAGTTGTGCAGATTTGAGTCTTGTCTTTCCATTTTTTAATAAGCCTGGCTAAGGCTTTATCAATTCTATTTTAGGTTTCAAAGAACCAACTATGTTTCCTTGATTCCTGGTAGCTATCTCTTAATCTCCATTAAATTAATTTATGCTTTTATCTTTGTAATTTATTCCCCTGTATGGGCTGTGGGCTTTTCCTGACCTCCTTTTCTAAAACATTTTTGATTCAACATTAAGTTGTTTATTTGAGCTATTTTCCTGATATGGGTATTCACTGCTATAAATTTTCCTCAAAGGACTGCTTTAATTGTATCCCATAAGTACTAGTATGCTGTACTGTCATTTTTGTTCAATTGTAGAAACTGTCTAATTTCTTCTTCAGTTTCATTTGTGACCCATTGGTTGTTCAGGACAGCATTGTTGAATTTCCATGTGTTTATGAAGTTTTTGTGGTTTCTTTTGCCAGTGACTTCCAATAACATTGTGTTATGGTCTGATAAAATGCCTGGGATGATTTCATTTCCTTCACTTTTATTAAGCATGTTGTATGAGCTAGTATGTGGTGCATTTTGGAGAACATCTAATGTGCAGATGAGAAGAATGTACATTCCATTGAGGAGTACAACATTATGTAGACATCCACTAAGTCCACTTGTTGAAAAGTTTGGTTCAGACCTAATATCTTTTTTTAAGTGAAATTTGCTTTTTTTCCCCATAATTTTATTGAGAAACAAATAGCAATGAGACAGTTTCAAACCAAATTGGTAGACAGTTTCAATAATTGACACATTGCATATTCTTCCTAGTGGTTAATTGCTGTACAAGATGTGGACTTGATATCCTATTTACAAACACTATTAGAGGGGCTGGGGAGATGGCTCAGTAGAATAAGCGCTTCCCTGGCAAGCGCAAGGGTCTGAGTTCAATCCCCGGTTCCGGAAAAAAAAAAAAAAAAGGCAAAGAAAGAAAGAAGCAAACACTATTAGAACGAATCCCTCTATTCATTAAGAGAATGCAACTATATAACTATCCTAACCACTTTGAATATACGGATACAAAATGGACATTCATCTGTATCCCCTTTT